TCACAACTTGTCCAATACCCCTGCCAAGCTACCCAAAACTCTTTAACTCCACCCGGTAGATCATCAGATGCAGCATTCTCCACCTGACCTCAACATTCTGAACATGACTATAAATACTCCCGTACCTTCCACCCCAGGTAGATCTGTGTGTGACTTGAAAAGGCCCACTGTGTGGGTGAAACGTTGTCAATAAAGGATCACATTATACTGCATATGTGTTTATATTTCCACCTTCTGATTTTTATTTGTGTATGAATGTGCTAGATAGGAGTGGAGGTAAATAATTTTTGACTTGACATGCTGTTGGAGTGTGAAGCAAAGTAACACTTATGAAGGGATTCAGGGAAACTGGTAGGCCAGACTTGAGTCCTGGAGGTGGGAAGTACAGCGTCTGCACTCTGAAGGAGGGATGGAAGTATGTTGCCTCTAGCAAGAGAGTGACAGAGTAAGTGATGATGAAAGCATTTCTTCTTTTTGGATCACCCTGCCTCAGTGGGAAATTGGCGATGTGTTAAAAAATTTTGCATAATATTCACACCACAGCCTCCTCATGACTGCAACATTTAAGGCCCATGGCTTATACTCATATAAAGGTGTTGTTACCACTATAGTCTAGGTACATTCTCATTTTTGTCTCTGTAGATAAACTTTTTCACAAATGCATCAACACACCATTTTTGGTTTACCTAGTTTTTTATAAATCCAAGTGCCAACATGTTCACTCCCAAATTTTTAAATATATTTAGCTCCTCCACACTCCTTCCCTTTAATCTGATATCAAATCTTTTGCTGCCTAGACTTTGTTACTCTCATCACCATGCACTTTTTTATATTCACGTTTAATTTTCATCTTTTATACTTTCTTCCTAAAATTCCTTCACTAGCTGCTGCAACTTCTCTTCAAAGTCTCGAAAGAAAATGTGTTATCTACAAAGAACAACGGAGAAAACTCTCTAATGACCTGGGCCAAGACCTGTCCTGGGAAATCTACTTCAACCTGAATCTGAGTGATCATCTCTTAATCTAACACATCTTCCCAACATCCTAGCATTAACCTTTTCTTTACAAAATCCCTCTTTAACCCTTTCAGGGTCCCCAGGCCCTCTCCCAGACTTTTTCTCAGGGTAAAAATTGAACATTTCTACTACTTTCAGCTCAATTTCAAGGTACTTTTCTTTGTAAAACCAGTCAAAATCATCTCAATTTCTGTAATATGTCTTCCATTCTATAAAATGGGACCAGGAAAACTAGAATACAACAATAAATACCATACAAAAATACAGTGCAAAGTCGCTGTTTTAATAAAAAAACACGGTCAAAGTTTTTTTTTCTCATTACACACCGTGTTGCAGAATTTTTTTTATACTGTGCACTGACCACATAGACCCATTCTTTCATATGTAGTCCTACCAGCTTTCTCTCACTAGATTTGAGGGCGCTAGAATTTAGGAGTACTAGTATGTCAAAAACCCTGGTGTGTAAGCCGTACTAGTACGGCCGAAACCGTGAAAGGGTTAAATTTGTTAAACCCACATACAGTGGACCCCCGCATAACGATGGCATCACATAGCGATTTTTCCGCATACCGATTACTTTTATCGCAAAATTTTTGCCGCGCATACCGATTAAAAACCCGCTCACCGATTTTCGTCCGAGACGCGTCCAATGTGCCCTCAGCCAGCCTCACATGTGCCGCCCGTCCCATTGTTTACCAGCCAGCCTCCGCGGTAACATCCAAGCATACACTCGGAATATTTCGTATTATTACAGTATTTTCGGTGCTGTTTCTGGAAAATAAGTGACCATGGGCCCCAAGAAGCTTCTAGTGCCAACCCTACACCTCAAAGGGTAAGAATTACTATAGAAATGAAGAAAGAGATAATTGATAAGTATGAAAGTGGAGTGCGTATAGCCGACCTAGTCAAGCTGTACAAGAAACCCCAATCAACCATCGCTACTATTGTGGGCACCAGAAAGACAATCAAGGAAGCTGTTCTTGCCAAAGGTTCAACTGTGTTTTCGAAACAAAGATCGCAAGTGATGGAAGATGTTGAGAGACTCTTATTGGTGTGGATAAATGAAAAACAGCTAGCAGGAGATAGCATCTCTCAAGCGATCATATGTGAAAAGGCTAGGAAGTTGCATGAGGATTTAATTAAAAAAATGCCTGCAACTAGTGATGATGTGAGTGAATTTAAGGCCAGCAAAGGTTGGTTTGAGAGATTTAAGAAGCGTAGTGGCATCCATAGTGTGATGAGGCATGGTGAGGCTGCCAGTTCGGACCACAAAGCGGCTGAAAAAAATATGTGCAGGAATTCAAGGAGTACATAGAAACTGAAGGACTGAAACCTGAACAAGTGTTTAATTGTGATGAAACAGGCCTGTTCTGGAAGAAAATGCCAAGCAGGACCTACATTACTCAGGAGGAAAAGGCACTCCCAGGACATAAGCCTATGAAAGACAGGCTTACTTTGTTGATGTGTGCCAATGCTACTGGTGATTGCAAAGTGAAGCCTTTATTAGTGTATCACTCTGAAACTCCCAGAGCGTTCAGGCAAAAGAAATGTCCTCAAGGATAATTTGTGTGTGCTGTGGAGGGCAAACAGTAAGGCATGGGTCACTAGGGAATTTTTCTATAACTGGTTACACCATGCATTTGCCCCCAATGTGAAAAATTACCTAACTGAAAAGAAATTAGAACTTAAGTGCCTCCTGGTGTTAGACAATGCCCCTGGTCATCCTACAGACGTGGCAGAGCGACTTTATGGGGACATGAGCTTCATTAAGGTGAAGTTTTTGCCTCCCAATACCACTCCTCTCCTGCAGTCCATGGACCAGCAGGTTATTTCCAACTTCAAGAAACTGTACACAAAAGCTCTGTTTGAAAGGTGCTTTGTAATGACCTCAGAAACTCAACTGACTCTAAGAGAGTTTTGGAGGAGATCACTTTAATATCCTCAATTGTGTAAACCTTATAGGTAAGGCTTGGGAGGAAGTGACTAAGAGGACCTTGAACTCTGCTTGGAAGAAACTGTGGCCAGAATGTGTAGACAAAAGGGATTTTGAAGGGTTTGAGGCTAACCCTGAGAATCCTGTGCCAGTTGAGGAATCCATTGTGGCATTGGGAAAGTCCTTGGGGTTGGAGGTTAGTGGGGAGGATGTGGAAGAGTTGGTGGAGGAGGACAATGAAGAACTAACCACTGATGAGCTGATAGATCAACTTCAAGAGCAAGAGGCCAGACCTGGGGAAACTGGTTCAGAGGAGGGGAGAGAGAAATTGAAGAAGTTGCCTACTACAAAGATAAAGGAAATCTGTGCAAAGTGGCTTGAAGTGCAAACCTTCATGGATGAAAATCACCCTCACACAGCTATTGCAAGCCGTGCTGGTGATTATTACACTGACAATGTTGTGAAAACACTTTAGGCAAGTCATAAAGGAACGAGAGGTACAGGCCACTATGGACAGATATGTTGTGCGAAAGAAGTCCAGTGACTCTGAAGCTGGCCCTAGTGGCATTAAAAAAAGAAGGGAAGTAACCCCAGAAAAGGACTTACTACCTCAAGTCCTAATGGAAGGAGATTCCCCTTCTAAACAGTAAGAAGATAATGCTCTCCCCTCCTCCCATCCCATCAATCATCACCAGATCTTCAATAAAAGTAAGTGTCATGTAATTGTGCATGCCTTTTTCAGTTTGTGTGTATTAAAATTAACATTTCATGTGGTAAAAAAAAATTTTTTTCATACTTTTGGGCGTCTTGCACGGATTAATTTTATTTCCATTATTTCTTATGGGGAAAATTCATTCACATAACGATTATTTCGCATAACAATTATCCCTCTTGCACGGATTAAAATCGTTAACCGGGGGTCCACTGTATTAATAATAATAATTTTTTTCAATGAACTGGCTATATCCTACTGAGGAAGGGTGACCTAAACAGCAAAAGGAAAGTTCTCTTTTTAAATTTAATAATTTATACAGAAGGGGTTACTAGCATCTAGTTCCCAGCATTTTATTCGCCTCTTATGATACGTATGGCTTACGGAGGAAGAATTCTGTTCCACTTCCCCATGGAGAATAATAATAACAACAACAATAATAATAATATTAATAACTAAATAAATAAATAATAACACCATTAGTGTCAGCGGATTGATCTATGAAAGATGAGGTGAATCACAGAACTGATGAGGGGAAAAGGGTGAGTGGTGCACTTAGGAGTCTGTGGAGACAAAGAACTGTGTCCTTGGAGGCAAAGAGGGGAATGTATGAGAGTATAGTTTTACCAATGCTCTTATATGGGTGTGAAGCATGGGTGATGAATGTTGCAGCGAGGAGAAGGCTGGAGGCAGTGGAGATGTCATGTCTGAGGGCAATGTGTGGTGTGAATGTAATGCAGAGAATTAGTATTTTGGAAGTTAGGAGGAGGTGCGGGATTACCAAAACTGTTGTCCAGAGGGATGAGGAAGGGTTGAGGTGGTTCGGACATGTAGAGAGAATGGAGCGAAACAGAATGACTTCAAGAGTGCATCAGTCTGTAGTGGAAGGAAGGCGGGGTAGGGGTCGGCCTAGGAAAGGTGGGAGGGAGGGGGTAAAGGAAGTTTTGTGTGCGAGGGGTTTGGACTTCCAGCGGGCATGCGTGAACATGTTTGATACGAGTGAATGGAGACGAATGGTTTTTAATACTTGATGTGCTGTTGGAGTGTGAGCAAAGTAACATTTATGAAGGGATTCAGGGAAACCAGTAGGCCGGACTTGAGTCCTGGAGATGGGAAGTACAGTGCCTGCACTCTAAAGGAGGGGTGTTAATGTTGCAGTTTAAAAAACTGTAGTGTAAAGCACCCTTCTGCAAGACAGTGATGGAGTGAATGATGGTGAAAATTTTTCTTTTTCGGGCCACCCTGCCTTGGTGGGAATCGGCCAGTGTGTTAATAAATAATTAAATAAATAACCACTAGTATTTATAATGTGACACTAAAGAGTGTGAGGAAATCTTACCAGAGATGATGCCATCAGTGATGATCAAGGGGAACAAAGTAGTTGTTACCATCCTGGTGAGACTGGGCAAACTTGGACACATGTCTGTTTCACTGGAGCAAAGTTGGTTGGACCAAACAAACCAACTGCAACAAAAGACAGTATCATAAAAAAAACTACATGTGGTAAATACAAAAGAATCTATGTTTATAAACCAATACACAATTTATACATAAATTTTTCTACAATTTATAGATAACCTGCACATAAGAGAGTGAAAACTTGTGATGTTTTAGACCAACTTGGGCCATTAACTTAGACCATTGCCTAGTTAGTGGTCCAAGTCGGACCGAAACATAGCTGTAAGTTTCCTTCTCCTATGTACGAGTTATTTGTGAATTGTTTCAGTCACGGTACTGTGCCTTTTTATTCTTCTAAATTTTTGATAAATTCTGGGACATCAAGACACAAGAGGTCAGAGTTATTCTATTATTATAATCTTGTACACAACATACATTAAAAGCAGACTTCTGAGTAACACCAATCTGAATATGTTTTTAATAAAATACTATTGAAAAACTGTATTGTACCAAAGTTCATAATGCATGAGAGGAAGACCAGTACAGCATGCAACAATTTAGGGAAAAATATATATTGGCCTTTTGACATCAAATCTCTCACTGTAATTAGTTATCATTTTTACAGAGGGAAGCCTAGTCTCTCACTTGACATAAATGCTCTCCCACACTCCAGTTGTCTTGTAGATGCTGTTATGGGTTATAGGACCCATTAAATCCTAGCAATGATGAAGGGTTTTGAAAAACCGACAAGTTGAAGATTGAGACACTTATGCAACATATGGGAATCTTTATTCCTGAATAAAGATTCCCATATGTTGCATAGTGTCACAATCTTCAAATCCTAGCAATACTGGGTTTAAATACCTATATAGCAGGAAATGGTTTTATTTGTAATACCTAGTTATACTGAATTGTTGGAGGCAAAAACTGCCTTGATTTTCTTTTAAGATTTGATCACACTTATGGGGATAAGCAAACTGTGCTCCTAACAGTTTATTACAACTAGATATTACAAATAACATAATTACCTGCTATATAAGTACTGACCAGGTACTGCTAGGATTTAGTGGGTCCTATAACTCCATAACAATGCATGCCATACCTTACTCAGTGGTGCTATTATTTATGCAATTTTCAATCTTTTCATTACCTTAACTCTTGATGAAAATGACAAATGAGCAACATTTAAGTATCTTTATTACCCAAACATTTCATCTGCACATTAGGATATGTCAGTCAAAAACAGACAAATATAACACTAGAAAGAACAGTTGAAGTCTATCAGCCTTGGTATGAGGTGGTCAGTCCCTCAAGCCTAAACCACAGACAATGTGTCCTGACTGTATATAGGGAAGCAGCTGGAAATCACGTAACACCTGGGGACACCCAGGTGTTCTGGGTGCTTGGTGGCCTGGTGGTTAACGCTCTCGGCTTCACATGGCGAGGGCCTGGGTTCGATTCCCAGCCAGAGTAGAAACATTGGACGTGTTTCTTTCCACCTGTTGTCTATGTTCCCCATCAGTAAAATGGGTACCTGGGTGTTAGTCGACTGGTGTGGGTCGCATCCTGGGACACTGACCTAAGGAGGCCTGGTCACAGACCGGGCGCGGGGGCGTTGACCCCGGAACTCTCTCCATGTAAATCCATTGTAAACCACTAGTGTAAGTAGGTCATGCTAAGCACATGTTTGCGAAGGAGTTGCTGTACAAGATACCATGGTGTTGCTGCATCAGACAAGTATCATATTATTGATGGTACAACAATATCAATAAGTTGATAAATAAGGTGTGTAATACCCGGGTAGTTTTGTTGTCAAAAACTTTTCACCTGCACTATGGTTTCTTGATACAGGTGAATATAAAACTGGAGAGAGTTACCTGGAGTCTACCCGGAGGTTATTCCCGGGATCAATGTCCCGCGGCCCGGTCCACGACCAGGCTTCCCAGTGGATCAGGCCTGATCAACCAGGCTGTTACTGCTGGCCGCACGCAGTCCAACGTACGAGCCACAGCCCGGCTGATCCGGCACTGATTTTAGGTATCTGTCCAGCTCTCTCTTGAAGGCAGCCAGGGGTTTATTGATACGTCCTCTTATGCTTGGTGGGAGGCTGTTGAACAGTCTTGGCCTGGACACTTATGGTGTTTTCTCTTAGTGTACCAATGATGCCCGTACTTTTAATTGGGGGATTTTGCATCACCTGCCCGTCTTTTACTTTTGTAGGGAGTGATTTCTGTGTGCAGATTCGGGGGCCATTCCTTCCAGGAAAACAGGAAACAGTATTTTTTACAGTTTTTTACTGTATTGAACATTATATTCACCAGAATCTGACTGAGGAAAAAATTGTCAAGGTGAAACATCTCGGTAACAAAGTTACCCAAACGCTGTACTTGCGGCCTGGTCACAGACCTGGCCACGGGGGAGTTGATGCCTGAAACCCTCTCCAGATATTAACCTCTCAGTATTATTTACCATTAATGATAGGATACCCTTTCATCTTCCTTTTATTACCTCTCCTTAATGTGATCCTAACAATTTATTATGCTGAAACAATTCTTTCAGCCTG